AAGCAGCACCCCGATCCACTCTTCCCTTGCTTTGTTGGTCCTTGTCTCTTCAGACATCGCAGTCTCTACCCCATCAGTTTGTTACTGTCTGTCTGGCTGTACGCCCCACGAAGGCAGGAGCCTGGTTTGTCTTAGCCACTGCTGTATCCCCGGGGCCAAGAATAACGTCTGGCATGTGGAAGGTGCTCGAAAAATTGTTGAGAAGGGAGAAAATGAGGCCCTGGACATTGTAGCCCCAGCACCAGGCACCTTCTCTGCAGTGGTTTCCCTGGGTTGTTCCAGAGAGATCCTGGGGTCGTCTTAGAGCCCCACAGTCACTGGGCAGCTGGCAGCCCTCTGCCCTGCGTGGGGCTGTGTTTCAGGCTAACCGGGGCAGGCGTGCGCTTCCTCCTGCCAGAGGGCGGGGGTGGTGACGTCAGAGGGCTCTCCCACCCCTCCTCCTCCCCAGCTGACCCATCCGGCCTGAAATGCCGAGTTCAAACAGACCACGGCACAGGTGCACAGGGTGTGCACTTCGTGTGCTGTGGGCAGGGCAGGGGCCCAGGCAGGTCACGGTGTCTTAAAAGAATGTTCTTGGAGCTGGAGGAAAGAAGGTAGGCAGGGTGGGAAGAGCAGAGGTGGGCAGAGAAGCCAAGAGGAGGAAATGCTGCTTATTTTCCTCAAAGCGAGAGTAAGGAGGGTGGCTTCGTTTATTTCTAATAGTAAAAATATTTGTTTTTTCATGTTCTGTCATGAAAATGATTCAAACAATACACGAAAGCATGAGGAAGGTAAAAAGAACCTGATATTTTAGCTCCCAGGGATGTAGTCAACAATTAGCCCACCAGACTCAGATGGCCGGGGCCCAAATCCTAACTGGACCGACGTCCAGACACAAACCTTGGGAGGGGCCGTAACTTCTCAGTGTCTCAGCTGCTTTGTCTGTAAAATAGAGACGCACTGATCCTCCTCTCCCCTCCTCTGCCCACCCTCTGCTCTTCCTGCCCTGCCTCCCTTCCTCTTTCCTCCAGCTTGAAGAACATTCTTTTAGGACACCGTGACCTGCCTGGGCCCTGCCCTGCCCACATTGCAGAAAGGACAAATCCTGCACACCCATTCTGTGGTTTGTTTGAACTTGGGATTCCAGGCTTGATCAGTATCTGCCGTCTAGTATTATTGTGAGGAAGTGAATATGTGGAAAGGTCTTAGAACAGTGCCTGGCACATGGTCAGGGCTGTATACGTGTTTGCTAGCATCATTGTCGTCATTGTCTTTGCAGACAGCTCTTTATGCACCAACCTGCCTTCCCTCTTTCCTCTCTCTTTCCCATCAGTTCAGTTCACCCCCCCATCCACCCCCCAACCCACCCATCCGCCCATCTACCCACCCATCATTGTCGTCATTGTCTTTGCAGACAGCTCT